TTGAATATGAGTAGTCATGTCGGTTTCTGTATTAAGAGGATACGAGTTGTCCAGTAGTTGAAGGGGCGGTCGGGTAGCCTAGTGGTTAAAGCGTTCGCTCGTCACGTCGAAGACCCTGGTTCGTTTCCCCACATGGGCACAATGTGTGAAACCCATTTCTGGTGTCCCGGTTCGCCCCGATTATGTTTCTAGGTTTGTCAGCACCATGCCAGTGGGTTTCACTGAAGTGGTAAACGTCTGAGACCTGCATCACTTCGGCCTTTCGTCTAACATTAAGCTTACACGCCTCGATATAACTGGAATACTGTTAAAAGCGGCGTTAAACCCAACTCACTCACTCACTGACCCTTGGGCTCTCTTTTTACAAGGCATCTCCGGTGACACGCTGCAATGTTAGTGAATTAGTGTTCAACCCAACTCACACAGTCAACTTCAAACTGAGTAGATAAGCACGATACGTTGGTTAAAAAAACTTTCCATTTTTTTTTTTTTGCTTTTCATCTTGCAGAAACATTCTGTATGTTTATATCAATTTACAAATGTGGCTTAGAGTAGAGATTCAAAAACATTTCCGCATGTTTTTTTCCAAGGTATCGAAACTTGGTCTCAAGCGTAACGAGCGACTATTTTAACCTCAAGGTCACCCGGCCCTACGGAATAATACTGCAGGCAGTAGTTGAAAAGAAACGGTAAATGTAAGACATTGGGGTTTATTACAAACCTAACGTGAAATTTTATGTTTCTTACTTCAGTCTAGCGCTTCTTCTATCGCCTGTGACACACAGCAATGCCCTGATGGCTCCTTTCTTGCTGCCTGTGCCTTTGAGTAGAAGAAAGGTGAGAACGTTTGATGATAATAAAAAGTTGGTTTGTTTGTTGTTTAACGCCGCACTCAGCAATATTCCAGCTATATGACGGCAGTCTGTAAATAATTGAGTCTGGACCAGACAATCCAGTGATTGACATCATGAGCATCGATCCACGCAATTGGTATCGATGACATGCATCAACCAAGTCAGTGAGCCTGACCACCCGATCCCGTTAATCGCCTCTTGCGGCATGCATAGTCGCCTTTTACGGCACATATGGGTTGCTGAATCAAACATTAACCTAATAATACTCTGATTTAACATGTATTATATTAGACATACAAGTCGATGTAAAAACAAGTCAAATATACAACCTCATAAAACATTTCTTCAAAGATTGTGTTTGCTTGTGAAGGATGTCCTGTAAGTGAAAGAATAAAGAGTTAAGGCAACGAGACGTGTTGCCACACCCTCAAAATATACTTACACTAATAATGAACGTATTATTACAGAAACAAATATTCAGTTAAGCATTTAATAATATTCATTATGTGATAATACTCTGTACTGTTTTGTTTCAGCAGAACGGAAGGAGACGGGGTTGGACGCTGAGATATTCCGTCGTTTTATAACGAGTTGTGTAGATAAATAAAAGATCATAAATGATAAATATTGACATTTTTGTGATTGTTTGTACCCTTCTTCGAATTTTGCAAGAAGAAAAAGCTGATGGTAGCATCAGCAACAACCCATACCATAGGAGTTCGATGACACACAATGGATCATGGGAACCAATACAAAAGGGGCTTTTGAATAACAAGCAACCGGTGGTACATATATCTTCAGATATATTTGAAGACAGTTGAAATGACGATTTTATACACAAAAAATGCTAATTTGTTACAATTAGGTATCGTCATTATCAGTGTATGGTTGTAGAAGTACGGGAAAACTTCCAAGGGTGTGTCCTAAGTCCAATTCTGTTTTCTCTATTAATATTAGTATCTTGCTGCAGAAGCTGCTGGTTCATGTGATAAGGGTGTTCAAATATCACCAGATTTATTGGCATATTTCTATTTCTCTTTGCCGACGATGTGGTTCTAATTTAAGATAGTGTACTTGGACTTCAGAAGCGGTTAAATGTATTGCACAAATATTGCAAGTCTTGGTCAGTTACTGTTAATAAGTCAGAATGAAAATAGTTGTATTCTGGAGTGGTGGAAGCTTAGCCAGAGTCCAAACGGGGACATATGGTGACTGTTCAAGTTGTTGACAATATAAATTACCTTGGCAAATACACACAAGTAAGTTAAGTCGTTCTCCAATTTGTAGATAAAATGCAATAAAGGCCAAGAAAGCATTAATTGAAGTGCTAAGGACAATGTATTGTTATGAACAGTTTCCATACAATGCTTACTTTAAGGTTTTTGATTTTCAAAGTATGCCAATTTTACTAAACTCTTCTGAAATATGGGGCTACCAAAGACAGGAGTGCATGAAAGGGTTCATTATATTGCTTGTAAACATTTTCAGACTACTATGGTTTGGGGAGGAAATGGAAGATACTTATTTATTATAATTCTTAACTGAGGTGTATTAAGTTTTGGGTAATGATTATACATATGCCAAGCAATGCATATACTCGTCAGGCATACACGATGTTTTATGTCTAGGATTCTAGTTTCGGTTTTGTTTTTGGCTTGGATCTTCCAGGAAGTGGGCTGTGTTTGAATAGTATTCCAGTTATATCACGGCGTGTCAGCTTAATGTGGGAGGAAAGCCCGAAGTGATGCAGGTCTCAGACGTTTACCACTTCGGTGAAACCCGCGACTTTGGGTATGGTGCAATGTGTTTCCGTTTGTAAAACAATAGGTAAACAATAGACTTGCCTTTGCATGTGTTTGTGACGGATGTAACCGCGACGCCTGTTATCATCACTTTTTAATAGTTATTCATAAGCACATGATTTGTATTTTGGTTTGGTTTGGTTTGTTGTTTTACGCCGCACTCAGCAATATTACAGCTATATGAGGGCGGTCTGTAAATAATCGAGTCTGGACCAGACAATCCAGTGATTGACATCATGAGCATCGATCCACGCAATTGGGATCAATGACATGCATCAACCAAGTCAGCGAGCCTGACCACCCGATCCCGTTAGTCGCCTTTTACGACAGGCATGGGTTGCTGAAGACCTATTCTACCCAGGATTTTCACGGGTCTGATTGTAATGTAGTCGTAATCGTACAATAGACTCTGGTTTTAAGCAGAGATTTCTTTTAATTATCGAAAGAGTTTTGTCGCTTTTATTTAGTAATATTAGTGGTCGGAAATGCGTTCCGAGTGTCAGTCCACTATTCTCACGGATTCAAAAGTAAAATTATCTGCAGACGAAGGCAATGCCTGATATAAGTCACATAAAGCCTCGCTACGCGTATCCTGGCAATTGTTTCGGATTTCGCAACGCGTGAGTAACCATCCCCTGTTCCGATTATAATTGCAGAAGTGCGAGTAATTAAGGTGCGATCTGTACGTCGCGCAATACTTCCTTTAACTCGGAGGCCACTGGAGTAATACTGAATGTAGTGCCTCTGGTAAATGACTACATTAATTAAAAAATTTTTTTTTAAAAACATGTTAGCGCACATTTTCAGTGCAAAACGACTCATGCTATCTTAGTAGAAACTTTGAGTGTATACCACGAAGAAAGTGTGTGATTCAACTCAATGTGTTGAGAGTTACCCGCTCTTGCGATGCAGAAGAACTGACGCAAACTGCAAACAGAGGGCGCTGGTCTTTCTTCCAGGCTTGAACTGACGTTGTGGCTTGCAAATGACGTGAGGTGAAACGAGAGCCTTTACACTGTTTCCTGTAGTCAAGGATAGGAGTGCGTAACAATGAAGCACATAATTTGGTCGTGTGACTGTGCCCCGTCAATACAATATGAGGTTATGAAACACAGTTCAGTGGGTCGAAAAACTCTATCTCTATCGCACACAAAAAATCACAATCTACGCAAAAAGTATGATTGGGGACAGATGAGTCAGCACTTTATCCGTGTACCACTACAGTCAGTAATATATCAGTTATATCACGGCGTGAGTGTTGTTTAACGCCACAGTCAGTAATATTTCAGTTATATCAAGGCGTGAGTGTTGTTTAACGCCACAGTCAGTAATATTTCAGTTATATCACGGCGTGAGTGTTGTTTGACGCCACAGTCAGTAATATTTCAGTTATATCACGGCGTGAGTGTTGTTTAACACCACAGTCAGTAATATTTCAGTTATTTCAAGGCGTGAGTATTGTTTGACGCCACAGTCAGTAATATATCAGTTATATCAAGGCGTGAGTGTTGTTTGACGCCACAGTCAGAAATATAACAGTTATATCAAGCCGTGAGTGTGGTTTAACGCCACAGTCAGTAATATTTCAGTTATATCACGGCGTGAGTGTGGTTTAACGCCACAGTCAGTAATATTTCAGTTATATCACGGCGTGAGTGTTGTTTAACGCCACAGTCAGTAATATTTCAGTTATATCAAGGCGTGAGTGTTGTTTGACGCCAAAGTCAGTAATATTTCAGTTATATCAAGGCGTGAGTGTTGTTTGACGCCACAGTCAGTAATATTTCAGTTATATCACGGCGTGAGTGTTGTTTAACACCACAGTCAGTAATATTTCAGTTATTTCAAGGCGTGAGTATTGTTTGACGCCACAGTCAGTAATATATCAGTCATATCAAGGCGTGAGTGTTGATTGACGCCAGTCAGTAATATTTCAGTCATATCACGGCGGAAGTGTTGTTTAACGCCACAGTCAATAATATTTCAGTTATATCACGGCGTGAGTGTTGTTTAACACCACAGTCAGTAATATTTCAGTTATTTCAAGGCGTGAGTATTGTTTGACGCCACAGTCAGTAATATATCAGTCATATCAAGGCGTGAGTGTTGATTGACGCCAGTCAGTAATATTTCAGTCATATCACGGCGGAAGTGTTGTTTAACGCCACAGTCAATAATATTTCAGTTATATCACGGCGTGAGTGTAGTCTAACGCCACAGTCAGTAATATTGGTTCTAAATTTATATCACAGCGACTTGTTAACAATCGAATCTGGATCAGCCAGATCAATGCCTGAAATGCTGATTTTTACAGTAGGATTATTTGATACAATACGGTATCGTCGTTAACGGATCGGAGGTTTAAACTGTATGTACGAGAACAACTTCATATCGGAAGCACACTCGGTGAGACGGTATGGCAGAATTACAGAGGTATGTAATTACTCAAATCACTAATTACTCCGATTCGTTTAACGTATGTATAATATAAGGAAGATGCTGGCGTTACATGAGGACACACTGTTACTTCTTTTGTTGAAATCTGGAAACAAACTGATTATTATTCAAATGCATGCGTGGCATGCGTGGCGATAGTTAGGGGTTGGTGAAGTGAGTGTGTGCTGTGCTATGTGCGTGTGTATGTGTGCTGTGTGTGATATGTTGTGTGCTTTAGTATGAGTGAGATGATGATCTTGTGAGGATCACATCAGACTTCGCGTAATGTACACTTAATGTATGACGTTATACAGTTTGGGAGTCGAAGAATGAGATACATGACGCCAAGTTTCAAGTAACTTAAAAAAGATCCTACTGGACTCACGGAGTTCATCGTCCCATTAATTATGTTTGATACACACATATACGTGTATATGAACAGCTACGTTAATAACCATCTTGTGTTGCTTGGGATTTAGTAAAAGGCACGTTGACGCATCCCTTGACCCAAAAACAAAAGGTCTTACAAAGTTTTTCAAACCGGTAAACTTCCATACTCACAATGATGTCATCACATTTAATTGCCCTTTCCCTTCTAAGATAATTGAACCTTGTCGTGTTGTTACAAACATTGAAACTGTTGGATTATCTGTTCGTCGATGCATATGCATATTAAGACTATGTATAATTCCTATTCGTACATGTATATCTGTGAACTGTCCAAAAACATGGAGGCTACAGATCTACACTTTAAGGCTTTCCGTACAAAGAGATATATATTGCTGGGTCCACCAAATGTACCACCAAACCCCCTGTCTCAAAGGTGAGGTGTGGTGAATTTAACGTCGCATTCAAGATTATTGTACTGATATAGCGACGTGCGTGCGTGCGTGCGTGCGTGTGTGAGAGGGGGGGGGGGGGGGGGGGGGGGGGGAGAGAGAGAGGGGGTGCCAGTGAAACTATGAGTTGTCACTTATTGCCATTACAGCTCCCGGTCGAGTGGCACACAACGTATAAAAGACTATGGGGCCTTCTTTAATGGGATTACAAAAAGAACGGTTTCAGCACCTGCTTTGAGATATAACGGTCTGTATTGAGCATTCATTAACTTTCCTCTAAATATTGCCCGAAATATATTAATTGTACTGAAAGGTTTCCATAAACTTGTTTTTGGGGTGACTTTAAATGGGGTCTTTGTTACTTTTACGTATTTCGCTTTAGGAACGCTTATTTTGACATTCAATGTAGGTTTTTGTATCCTTGGATAAATGCCAGGGTGCCGTTGTACAAAACAACCTTGGCGCTACGACAGTCGTAAGTCTGTGTTAAGGCAATCCGAAATATGTCTTTAACGGAATACTGTATTAATCCACAACTCTGGGAACAATAAAAAAGGTTTTTAAAAAACAACAACAAAAAACAGGAAAATCTTGTTTACCGGGAATACAATAGATTTGCATGCATTTTCCAAAAACGATTATATTGTAGACATAGATGTGTTAGGCTTTTTGTATCATCACATGATTTATCACTTAATAACGTTTTTCTCGAGTTTTCCTTATTTTAAATAAACAAGCTATCATGTATTTCTCAATGTATGTGTAAAATAAAGATGACATTTTTTTATTTTTTTTAAAGGTATGGGAGTTTTGTACAACGGCATCAAGGCCAGCTATCTCATGACGTTATCAAAATCGAAGGACCTTCTGTCTCTAAATTCGTTAATGATGCTTACATGAGATATTTAATTGATCCGCACCTACATGTACAAGGCGCACGTTGACGTTGATTTCTTCAACTAAAACACATATTTGAACTTCTTTGTCTGTAATATTTGTTATGTCACATTCTTTTGTCAGAAAAGTATATATTACATTTGATTGATGTTTATGTTGATAATAGTTCAGTTTTGTATCATTCAGCACAACAGAGTAAAATTCCAGAAGCTGATCGAGTACTAATGGGTGGCGGCTTTCCACATAGTCTACAGTTCCCTGTGGTCAAGGCTACATACACACTGAGGTAATCACCTTTATACGCAAAACATCAGATAACATATACAACCGATAGTATTGACGGTCGCTGCTATTCGCTGTGCAGAGGTGCGTCCCTTGGGCACGCCAGAAACCTATGATTGTGGGTTCGAATCCCGGTTCGTCCCGATTATGTTTCTAGGTTTGTCAGCACCATACCCGTGCTCGTGGGTTTCACCGAAGTGGTAAACGTCTGAGACCTGCATCACTTCGGGCTCTCCTCCCACATTAAGCTGTCACGCCGTGATATAACTGGAATACTGTTAAATGCGGCGTTGAACCCACTCACTCACTCAGTATTGATGGTTTGACGTGATCGTGTTCATAATCATGGCATGATCAAGACTCGTCTCAGTAAAATACACAATTATCTTCATATCTGGGTTGGTTGGTTGGTTTGTTGTTTAACGCCGCACTCAGCAATATTCCAGTTATATGACGGCGGTCTGTTAATAATTGAGTCTAGACCAGACAATCCAGTGATTAAAATCATGAGCATCGATCAATGCCATTAGGATCGATTACATGCATCAATCAAGTCAGCGAGCCTGACCACCCGATCCCGTTAGTCGCCTTTTACGACTGGCATAGTCGCCTTTTACGGCAAGCATGGGTAGCTGAAGACCTATTCTACCCCGGATCTTCACGGGTCTGATTGTAATGTTGTCGTAATCGTACAATAGACTCTGGTTTTAAGCAGATATTTCTTTTAATTATCGAAAGAGTTTTGTCGCTTTTATTTAGTAATATTAGTGGTCGGAAAACCCGGATCTTAACGGGCTCATATCTGGGGGTGGGTGGGTAGCCGAGTGGTTAATGCGTTCGCTCGTAACGCCGAACGCCCGGGTTCGATTCCCCACATGGGAAATCAATGCCTGTTTAGAATTTGGTAAAGTTATATCTTGGTCTGTTCAATGTGTGCGAATCTGTGTCAATGTACATATAACCAAACATAGATGAGATCAGTGCTTTACAACCCACGCACATTTCAGAAGGTCATACATCTATTTTTTTGTTCCCGTCTATCGTGTATCCCATTAAATAGATAGCCTGTCTTTCTTACATAACAATACGATGTGAGTGTACATTACAGCGATGGTGCCGAGGTCCATATGGATCCCGAGGAGATGAAATCCTGTCTACAGTATAACGAAGCAAAAGGGTTGGTGTTCCGTATTTGAATAAATAACCAGGCTGTGAATGATTGAACTATCAACTATAACATTCATCGACTTACATGGACTTATGGACCCGTGAAGATCCGGGGTAGAATAGGTCCTCAGGAACCCATGCTTGTCGGAAAAGGCGACTGTGCTTGTCGTAAGAGGCGACTAACGGCATCGGGTAGTTAGGCTTGCTGATTTGGTTGATGCATGTCATCGTATCCCAATTGCGTGGATCGATGCTCATGATGTCAATCACTGAATTGTCTGGTCCAGACTCGATTATTTACAGACCGCCGTCGTATAGCTGGAATATTGCTGAGTGAGGCGTTAAACAACAAACAAAAAACATGGACTAATGGATTTCCACACAATGTAAAGTTGGCATTTTGAGTGTTTGTCTCTTTTTTTATTATATTTGTTTGGATTATGGAGGAGTTATATATTTGTTAACAAATACTTTGTAATATTTCGTATTAGTGGTTTCAGTTTTAATTCTTTCAAAACAAAATAATTATTTTTGTAAAAACTACACCAACTATTTGGCAAAGGTTTTCAATTTTTACCGTCAGATTGTGTTTCTTCTGCAATGCTTCCAAGCTGCGGTTATGAATCACACAAATATGATAACACACGGATTTGTCTTGCAAATAAAGGACACGGACGGCCTTCGTTGTGTAAATAGTACTTTGTGACTTTCTCAACAACTAGACCTATATAACATTACACAACTTGATAACAGGTTAGCCGGGATACGGAAGTGGCTGGAGGGGTTGTACAGGCGTGTCCACAACCCTCCCACAATGGATAACAGTGACCTGCCCTCATCCCTCGCCCTACTGATGACCAACGGTGGACGATGGGGGGCTGTCCAGGTAGGCGGATTCAGTTACCTGTTGCCGACTCTGTACTTCCTGTCTGTTTCATTTAACTGAAAGGTAACGTCTTTCTATCATTGATGCTGTTTCAATAGTACATGTTTATCAAAATTAATAAACGTTTAATGATGGCATGACACTGTTCAGATGAAACCATTTTTTATGCATTGAATTCGTGAATCCGATCTTTCAACTATATTACTATATCGGAATGTGACAGAATATCTTTCAATGGTTATACACGAGAATATGATCGTTATTCAACTTTCAGGTTCTGAAAATGGTTCTGGAAGATGGCGATTGTTTTCTCTCTGAAGAAGTTACATACCAAAGCCTCATTCCCAGTGTAAGAATAAGCTGTATTTGACTTTTTGTAACTCTCAGCAATTTGATTGCTTAAAGAGGACATCTTTGTGTCCATAACGAGATGAATCTAAAGCTTTGGTTTGGTTTGTTTGTTGTTTAACGCCGCACAATATTACAGCTATATGACGGCGGTCTGTAAATAATCGAGTCTGGACCAGATAATCCAGTGATTGACATCATGAGCATCGATCCACGTAATTGGGATCGATGACATGCATCAACCAAGTCAGCGAGCCTGACCACCCGATCCCGTTAGTCGCCTTTTACGACAAGCATGGGTTGCTGAAGACCTATTCTACCCTGGAATCTATCTAAAGCAATGTTGGCGAAGCCCAAACTCGAACTACTTTAGTAGCAGGGTGTTCTCATTCATGTTCCCTTCCACATTCGTCGAGCAACTGGAATCGGGAAACCTTAAACAGAAAATGTAAGTATTAATGTTCCGTAATCATACGATTGCGCCTCAACAGTTCAGCTGCACGACTCGTGAAGATCCGGGGTAGAATAGGTCTTCAGCAACCCATGTTTGCCGTAAAAGGCGACTATGCTTGTCGTAAAAGGCGACTAACGGGATCGGGTGGTCAGGCTCGCTGACTTGGTATATGCATGTCATCGTATCCCAATTGCGTGGATCGATGCTCATGATATCAATCAATGGATTGTCTGGTCTAGACTCGATTATTTACAGACCGCCGTCATATAGCTGGAATATTGCTGAGTGCGGCGTAATACAACAAACCATCCAACCAAACCAACCAACCAACCAATTGCGTAGATCGATGTTCATGATGTCAATCACTGGAGTGTCTGGTCTAGACTCGATTATTTACAGGCCGCCGTCATATAGCTGGAATATTGCTGAGTGCGGCGTTAAACAACCAACCAACCAACAACCAATACTTATATTTCAGTTCTTACCTCGGAACATTACAGTTGCCCCAGTGAGAAGTGATAATGGAGGGATGGACCCTGTTCACCTCCATCAGGTGATGTCTGAATGGAATGCGGAGATACAAGGAAGGCGTCCCCATCTGCTTTACATCATCCCTTCTTTCTGCAATCCAACGGGCACAATTATGACAGAACAAAGGAAGAGGAAGATCTTCAACGTTGCCCGAGAATTTAACATCCTGATCTTGGAAGACGATCCGTACTACTTCTTACAGAGCGTCAGTGTTGTAACCGCTTGTAATTGTTTACTAGGATGAATTGCTTTCATAAATGAAACTTTGCAGCCGGTTATAAATGTTGACTTTGGCGAGATACTTTTAAGGAAACAGAACACATAATCTCATTAAAATCATATCTTAATTCTTGCTACCCCTAAACAAAGAGGACATCTGAGGACACCCCATTGCGGGTCACGTCAGTCCGACCTTGCGCGAACTTTGACCGACCAATGGAATGACTGACAAGAAGTCGACATTAGCCAATCAGAAGGCAGCTTTCTCGTGCTTTACGGCACTAGTTTTAAATGGGCGACTACGCTTCGAAACATATTTTGACAAATTCTCGATTTAAAATGTGAAATCTGAACAAAAGAACATTCTAGGCTGGCTAATAGATAGTCTAGATTGTATGGATTCAGTCGTTAAGCCCGAAACTATCGTTCGGAATACCCCTTGTTAAAGTTTTTGAGGTCGCATGATTAGAAATCTAATCCCGACCGTCACTTTCATGACCCGGTAGGCGACGCTCTGATTGGTCGGATGTAAGGTCGTTCTGACTTGACCTCAAATGGGATGTCCTCAGATCTTTGTTTTGCGGTAGCGAGAACTAAGAACTTATTTTACTGAGATTGCAGAACACATAAAGTAAATACATTTTCCCCTTTTTAAATAATGTATTGCTGATTAGGCAAAAAGAATTTCATGAATAAAATATTGCAGCTCCTTATGCATGTAATTGGTACTTTCGACAGATTGGAAATGATCAATCTACACCAACTTGCTGGTTGTAATTGTTCCAATTATTATAAAATATACTTTCATAATGAGTTGATGTCTCAAAGTTGTTATAACGTACAAAAACATCTTTATAAACACATTATACTTAATTGCCAGCCAACACCGATACAGGCTTCACTCTGATATACGGTTATGACCTTCCATAAACAAATTAAATATCTCCGCTTTTTTATTCAAGCATCCACGGTTTTAACCAATAAGGAGACGATAATCGTTATTAAGAAAGCCATGTTTGTTTGATATAGCGGTATATATCAGTCTTAACTTTTCTTGCAGCCTCTGGTCCCAAGCTTCCTGTCGATGGATACGGATGGGCGAGTAATTCGAACTGACTCATTTTCGAAGACGCTATCTCCAGGGTGAGCAACGTTTGCCGTCAAGTTAAAAACTAAACGAATTAATCTTGTGCAGAATTAATTGTTTTTGCAAATAATCAAAATTTTCGTTTTAAGCCAAATTTTATCCCCACATCACAATTTCTTTCCAATTTCCCAGTATAACTTTGTATGTTTGACTGAAAATTATCAGTTATGAAATTGTGACATATACTTCAGTATGTTTAAATAAGAAAACTACTTAAAGCGCAGTAAAAGAGCACGCCGACCCACAATCAAGCAGGTGAACCATCCGATCCCCGAAATTTCTAAGTTACCAGGGGTATTAATGATTATCATCTGAGTACGTGCACGTGTATGCCCGTGAAAAGCCGGTTAGAATAGGTCTTAAGCAACCAGTGTTTGTCGTAAAAGGCGACTATCCTTGTCTAAGAGGCGACAAAAGGGATCGGGTGGTCATGCTCGCTGACTTGGTATATGCATGTCATCGTATCCCAAAGGCGTGGATCGATGCTCATGATGTCAATCACTGGATTGTCTGGTCCAGACTCGATTATTTGCATACCGCCGTCATATAGCTGGAATATTGCCGAGTGCGGCGTTAAACAACAAACAAATGTACGCATTAACGTTATCATACCAAAATGGAATAAGATTGTCCTCAACTGTATCTCACTGACAGGTGTCGTTTGGGATTCCTGTTTGGGCCAAAGCAGATTGTGGACAAAATGGCAGCTATCCTCCATCTAGAATCGGGGGGACCAAGTGCGGTATCACAGGTCAGATGCGTTTTTTGTTGTGTCGGTTTAAGTCGTAGTAATTATCATGCAGGCGACAATGGTTTTTTGAGTAACCAGGGCATGGTGCCTTGGTGTCTGAACGGAACTCTAACAATTATATGTGATCTTCCTTCTCACCATACTCTGTGTGTCTTCTATCTACGTGTGTGTGTTCAGATGAGTTGTGATAGGCCAAACGAATTTTTTTTATCGTTGCACATGCTACTAATCACTAGATTGTTTGGTCCAGACTTGATTGTTTAAAGGTAGTTGCCGTCGTATTGCTGACTGCGGATTTAGGCATCAAGTTAACACTTATATTTTATGAAAATGACTGAGTAGCGGGTGGTACAGGTAAAGCAGGACATGCTTATCCATTTCGCGAACACCTGGTGTCATCGTTGATATTCAGAGATCCATTCACATAATTTTCACTATTTTACCGTTTCCGCACAATTTAATCTATTTCGGCAGAAGATCGAGACTGGTGATTCTCTGGCGTTGACCTTTCGAATTCACCCTACCCGCCTTCAAACACCTTTTAGGTTCACAGAATATGACCCATGTGTCTCAATGTTGCCTCACCCATCTTCAAACACCTTTTAGGTTCACAGTATATGACCCATGTGTCTCAATGTTGCCTCACCCATCTTCAAACACCTTTTAGGTTCACAGTATATGACCCATTTGTCTCAATGTTGCCTCACCCATCTTCAAACACCTTTTAGGTTCACAGTATATGACCCATGTGTCTCAACGTTGCCTCACCCATCTTCAAACACCTTTTAGGTTCACAGTATATGACCCATGTGTCTCAATGTTGTCTCACCCATCTTCAAAAAGCTTTTAGGTTCACAGTATATGACCCATGTGTCTCAGCGTTGCCTCACCCATCTTCAAACACCTTTTTGGTTCACAGTATATGACCCATGTGTCTCAATGTTGCCTCACCCGCCTTCAAACACCTTTTAGGTTCACAGTATATGACCCATGTGTCACAATTTTGCCTCACCCGCCTTCAAACACCTTTTGGGTTCACAGTATATGACCCATGTGTCTCAATGTTGCCTCACCCATCTTCAAACACCTTTTAGGTTCACAGTATATGACCCGTGTGTCTCAATGTTGCCTCACCTATCTTCAAACATATGGTAGTGTGACTCTATATTTACTTTTAACCTACAGGTGATGATCTACAAGGTTGTGCAGGCTTGGGGGTACGAGAAGTACCTCAACCACGTGGCGAAGGTGGCGTCATTCTACAAGCAGAGAAGTGGCATACTTCTATCCTATATGGACAAACATCTGCAAGGTACAGCTCGTGTTTCATTGGAGAAACTCAGTTTTTGGAGGCGCAAATTAACATGAGAAAGTGCCGCAAATATAAACTGCAGTTATCATGTAATGGGTAGGTTTCTCGGCAGGATAAAACCAATGGATAAAAACGATATCCGTTGGGGTCATATGTGGATAGATTTGCAAACATCAAAGGTCAAGTAGGGACTACTTTCAGTGTTTACAAACAAACATGATGTCGCCCTTGTCATTCGGCGATCGAGTCAGAATTAACCATCGGGAAAATCTGGAGAAACTACAGCGATAATTGCTATCATTATCAAAAGAATAGTCTAATATACTCAAAATCAGTGCATAACTGTGGCTTAACTAAAGCATTTTACAAATTTTGGAGATATGACGGCGGTCTGTAAATAATCGAGTCTGGGCCAGTCAATCTAGTGATTGACATCATGAGTATCGATCCACGCAATTGGGATATGATGATTTGCATCAACCAAGTCAGCGAGCCTGACCACCCGATCCCGTTAGTCGCCTCTTTCGACAAGCACAGTCGCCTTTTACGGCAAGCATGGGTTGCTGAAGACCTATTCTACCCCGGATCTTCACGGGTCAAGTGTTTTAAGTATCGAATCGTGTTTAAGTATTCGTATGACTTAGATTCGTGTACATTATGGCAGGGTTGTTAGTGTGGTGTGTTCTGAACCGGGAATCTATAAGAAAAACACGATGGAACAGTCCGTAGCTCTGTGTTGCACAAGTCAAAATCAAAATCGTGTTTTGAGAGCAGCACAAGATACAGTTACCGCAGCTGAAAAGAAAATGATCCAGATTCGAGTTACAACATATGATCCAGGTTCGAGTTACAACATATGATCTAGATTCGAGTTACAACATGGGTACTATGTGTGAAGCCCTTTTCGACCTGGTGTCATCACTACTTTCAATGTGAGGATAAGATGAAGAACTTCTTTATTACAATTAGGAGCTTTCAGTGGTTCATTCATGTTATGTTCACCGTTGCTGTGCCCTTTAAACCCAATTGAATCTGGTCGTCGTATAATCGAGACTGGTTATTCTTTGGCGTTGACGTTTATCAGTGTGTTTGATTTCTATGTCAAATCTGTGTAAAACCTGTATGTTAAATAGGACTATCGAATATAGTTCAATAGTCGATACACATCTGAATTTATATCCCATCAATGAATGCAGGTCTATGCGAGTGGACCCCCGCGGGCGGTGGGATGTTTCAGTGGGTGACGTTACTGGGCGTGGACAAGTCCGAGCCAGTTGTGGACAGATTGATGGAGCGGGGTGTGTTCGTCATGGATGGCTTCATCTTCTCCGTGGACCTAGCATCACGACCCAACATCAGGCTCTGCTTCGCTCGAGTGTCGGACGAAGAAATGGAGAAGGTAAGAGCGGGTGCATTGCGACATTTTCGACCGTGCATTCATTAAGCACAACTTTAAGATTTTGCTGGTTGCGAATGTTTGGGCATATGTGAACGTTATTGTTTAAATACAATTTTCAGGCTGTTTCAACATTAGCTGAGGTTCTGAAGAAAATGACGGGTATCCAGTGAAGCCAAAGCTGCATCTTCTACATCAAGCCAAGACCAAGATATGAAACTCGCTCTTTTCGTGAAAAACTGGTGATTATTGGGGAGATATTGAAATTTATATTTGGCTGTGTTTTTTAACTCCAAATTTTCCATTAACAATAATGATCAAGACATGTACAGATGATTTCTATTTTTTAAAAAGGAAGTCATGCCCTCACAAACTCACTCTTAATTCGTCGACGTCTTAAGACAAACTAGTAGTCCGGCCGGTTTAATGACAAATATGTTGAATGAAACGAATCTGTATTCCACAATAAAATAACCTTTAAATAGACATAACGTGTTAGTTTTTTTCCAGCTTTGTCCCGCTTGGAAGTAGTTTGATAGGGAAACATCATCAACTTACCGTTACATTTCGAGAAATAGACGGGGCATTAAGGATGTGTGTGTGTGTTTGTTGTTTAACGCCGCACTCAGCAATATTCCAGCGGTCTGTAAATAATCGAGTCTGGACCAGACAATCAAGTGATTGACGTCATGAGCAATGATCCACGCAATTGGGATAGGATGACATGCATCAGCCAAGTCAGCGAGCCTGACCACCCGATCCCGTTAGTCGTCTCTTCATACAGAACGAAACAGGCTTTGCTGTGGTAGGCGAATATAAAAAAACAACGCCCGAGAATATTCAGTCTCGATTATCTACCGAAACAAATTCCCTATGGCATAAAAGACAACATAGGAGATCATGGGCGGATACAGAGGGGGGAGCTGCGGGGGTGCGCATACTCCCCCCCCCCCCCCCCCCCCCTTTTTTTTATTTCGAAAAAATCTTTATTTCTGTATAAATTACCACCAAAGACAATAAATAGATGTTAATTGTGCACACACACACCCCACCCCACCCCTTTTCAAAAAAGCTGTATCCGCCCATCTTCTGTAATCCATGTTCCCCATTATTTCTAAGCTCAGAGGCATACATCACCACCTTTCGAACACGTTTGATCAAGCTACACTACCACTGCACAGGACCCGTGAAGAATAGGTCTTCAGCAACCCTTGCTTGCCGTAAAAGGTGACTATGCTTGTCGTAAAAGGCGACTAACGGGATCGGGTGGTCAGTCTCGCTGACTTGGTTGATACATGTCATCGATCCCAATTGCGTGGATCGATGCTCATGACATTAATCACTAGATTGTCTGGTCCAGACTCGATTATTTACTGACCGCCGTCATATAGCTGGAATATTGCTGAGTGCGGCGTTAAACAACAAAACAACCAACCAACCACTGCACAGGCACAAATGTGTGTACGTTAACAAACAAGAGTTGCTTCCCTTGCTCCATCTTCTCTCCGACGTTCCTCGGCCCGCCGCAATACACCGACGCTCCTCGGCCCGCCGCAATACACCACTGTCGCAATCATGATCCTACATTCTGAGACACCATATGCCACAACACGACTGCTACAACACATAAGTGGCATAAGCCTCCATTTGAGAGCTTTCGTTCTCAAACTGTGGATTTTAACCAAATGTTCGTTTATTTACAAGTCAACCAAACTACATTCAACGAATGCAACTCGTTTTAACAGAATTAAATCGAGGAAATCAAATATGAGTTCATCAAGTATAAATCATTCATGATCTTGTCATTTCCTGTCAGTGTCTTTTCACTCGTTTTTCTTTACGAGGTCAAAGGTCGCGTCACAGGTCTGTTCGAGTTGCGGCCGTACATCCACACATCTCCGTGTTCAAGTTTCGCCTTTGTGTGTGTCTATAACCAGTTTAGAAGCATCAACGGAAATAGTGTGTTTGTCGTTAAAGGCGACTAAGCTTGTCGTAAGAGGCGACTAACGGGATCGGGTGGTCACGCTCGCTGACTTGGGTGATGCATGGCATCGATCCGAATGGCGTGGATCGATGCTCATGATGTCAATCACAGGATTCTCTGGTCCAGACTCGATTATTTACTGACCGCCGTCATAAAGCTGGAATAGTGCTGAGTGCGGCGTTAAACGACAAACTCACTCACTCACTCAAGACTTAATAAAATTACAAACCAATGAACTATTACACTTATACAGAGAGATTTTTAACTTATGTCAAATGAGTGAGTGACTGGGTGGATGGATTGGTTCTTGGGTGGTGAGTGAGTGAATACTGCAATAACATTAAAATGTTCATATTCTACAACACAATTTATTAATCAATACCACTAATATTTATAAATATAATATTCTGTTTGTTCGGTGTTTTAATGTGTCTTGACCCGTAAAGATCCGGAGTAGAATAGGTCTTCAGCAACCTATGCTTGCCATAAAAGGCGACTATGCTTGTCGTAAGAGGCGACTGACCGGATCGGATGGTCAGGCTTGGACTTGGTTGATGCATGTCATCGTATCCCAATTGCGTGGATCGATGCTAATGATGTAATATAAGTCACTGGATTGTCTGGTCCAGACTCGATTATTTACAGACCGCCGTCATATAGCTGGAATATTGCTGAGTGTGGTGTTAAACTACAAACAAACAAACAATTTAATGTCCCGTAGAAATATGTATAGTTTTAGGTCAGGTTTTGTTTCTGTCTACTTAGTATTCCATGATATAAATGTACATGGAGGGAGGGAGTTTGGTTTGAACAGTATTCCAGTCATATAACGGCGTGTCAGCTTAAAGAGAAAGGGAAAGCTTAAAGTGATGCAAGTCTCAGATGTTCACCATGGTGAAATCCACGACCAGGGATATGATCCTGGCAAACCTAGAAACATCATCAGGGCGAACCTAGGCTCCGGACTAATGATCGTAGGTTCCAGGCACTACCAAGAGAATCTCTACACAGGGAATACGACTGGGCCACCTGTGTCCCGTTTTGTCAAATGACATAATCCAAAAAAATACCGTATTCGACGTAATAAGCGCCCATGGCACTCTCAAAATTAGAAATAGGGGGCTTTTATAAGAATATTATTTTGGTGAAAAAAAGAGTTGAAAGTCAAATTTCGTGGTTTATGCTGACAGCCTGAAATGTTTATATACGACAGATATATTATTCCAGAATTTAATTGCCCATTATTAAGGGTGCATATAACACACGAGTGCGTATTATACGCGAATAAATCCATCTTATGTACATTGATCAATCGGAAGGGGTGATAATTGGGATTGTTCACTTGTCAATATATTAGCAAATATCGCCGTAGGCGCTTATTAGAGCGGGGCGCTTATTACGTCGAATACGGTACATGTTTTATTTATTTATTAACTACAAATAATAATAATGGAAATTAGATCGACCAGGTACACGCAGGAAAATACTACAATATATGTTTGTTGTTTGTTTAACGCCACATTTAACAACATTCCAGCTACATAACCGCGGCCTGTAAATGGCCGAGTCAGACAAACCAGTGATTCATGGTATAAGCAAACGCCGTCGGGGTAAGATGTCATGTATCAACCAAGTGACCGAGCCTGACCACCCGGTCCAGTCAGGCGCCTCTTATGACCAGTATACGTCGTTTTGGACCTAACACAACTCGGAATGAACACGTACTAGTTATGGATCAGTTAACGATTTAAAAGTGAATGTGTGTAATCATAATAGATATTAGGCCTGCCCCTCAGTGGTAAACATAATATATTGCAAACTTTGTTGTTGTGTATCGTGTAATAACAAGTGTAAATTTCATTACATTCGGATGTCTCAGACATATATCTATAATATCACCTTTCCATTGCGTTTAAACCTGATTCTTACTGTTAACATTCATTTTCACATAATTATTTGTAAAAAATCGCATAGCTTCAATGTAGTTAATATTATTCGTTTAGTGTGTGCACTGATTCTGGTATGAAATGTAACGTACATATTCCTGGCATCTAAATTATTTCCTAAGTACTGGAATTAGGAGTAATTATGAACCTGACAATATTCTGATCACTTATCATGTGCATAATTGAACTGGATAAGGATAGTGACGAACTCACTTTATCTCTCATCCTAATTATCTGGTAAAGGCTAACTCTACTCTATCAAGGAACATTTGTTAGACGTAAAACAAATCCTTAAGTGCACAGTGCAGGAATCGCTGAGTGTAGTTACATGTCCTATTGTTGGGAATTCGTTACGCAGTATCAATATCTTAACTTAAATAATGAAATTAGTAGTGTGGGAATAAAGGAAGCGAGCGTATGCAGATAGGCAGATTGCTGTTTCTGAGTCGCATCAGAATCATCCGCATGGAGTCCAGACGGAATAGGTCCCCAGTACTTATGCTCACAATGTCTGATCATAAATATTATATATATAATCAAGTTGTATTGTGTCTCGTGAAGATCTGGGTTAGAATAGGTCTTCAGCAACCCATGCTTGTCGAAAGAGGCGACTAAAGGGATTGGGATGTCTGGCTCGCTGACTTGGTTGATGTATGTAATTGTATCCCAATTCGATACTTTATAGACCTCCGTCATATGGCGTGAATGTTTCTAAATGCCGACGTAAATGACGTACAAACAAACAAACATTTACTTGTATATATGCATTCATGTAGTAGTTTGATCAATAATGCTGTGACAATGATGTTTCCACAGTTGACATACTTGCGTAAACTACGCACATGGAATACATGCTAATCAGTGTGAACACTAAATTAATGACAATATGAAGTGACATTTATTCCCATCAAGCTTCCAGTTACATATCAGATATTGGCATTAAGCACGGGTACTTCAATTTTATTGTTGTGCACACTAAAACAAAATATTAACTTTGAGTCTTTCCGTGGGTGCCATTTGCTAATAATGTATCATTTAGATAACATTTATACATGCAAAGACGTTGACGGGTACTCTGTCGTGTATTGCAATCAGAAAGGCGACCAGTAAGATAACTGTAGGTCTTAGTTTAAAATCATTTGTCGTGTACATCAAATGTGCTTAGTGCATCCAAGTGGTTTCCCTACATCTTGGAACACTCTTTTGCAACTGAAATGTCGCGTGAACCTAAACCACACTTGTCCACCCTACCCTACCCCAGTACACCTTTAGCAACACTTCTCCACCCTACCCCACCCTTCCCTACCCCATCCTCCTCCACCCTTCCCCACCCCATCCCACCCCACCCCACTCCACCCTACACCGCACTTCTCGACCAAATAAACAAATAAAGGTGAGGAACACACAGAATTAGTTTGTTCAACAGCTCGCCTGTGCACAGTCGGTGTCCAAGGGTGACATTTGTAATTGTAGACAGAGGAACAGCAAGATTTAATGCGTATGCTTCCATATACACACAGCAGCTTAAAATATACCAGTTGTGTGATACCCTATGA